TACTTATTTCAAAAGGCTAGACGAGACAATCACCGGAAAGGTAAGGTTCGGTGACGACTCCCGCATCGATATCAAAGGCAAAGGGTCAATTATGTTTGTAACCAAGAACAGAGAAAAAAATATATTATCCGATGTCTACTATATACCAGGTCTAAAGAGTAATATCATTAGCCTTGGGCAGGCTACCGAGTCAGGCTGCAATGTGAGGATGAAAGAGGATCACCTGACCTTACATGACCGTGATGGAAAACTCTTGGTTAAAGCATATCGATCCCAAAACAGATTGTACAAAGTGCGCATGGAAGTTGAAGCTACAAAGTGTTTACAGCTTATGGACCTTAACGACTCAACAAGATGGCACGCGAGACTTGGGCATATTGGCTTGGAAAATATGAAGACCATGATGAAGAAGAAATTGGTTATAGGAATACCTAACATGACAGTTGAGAAAGAAACATATTCATCATGCCTACTTGGAAAACAAGCAAGACATATGTTCCCAAAGGCAACATCTTACCGTGCACAAAACTTACTTGAACTCATACATGGCAATCTTAGCGGACCAATCACACCATCCACACCTGCTCAGAATTGGTATATTTTTGTGTTGATTGACAATCCCTCGAGGTATCTGTGGTCGATACTCATGAAGGAGAAGAGTGAGGCGTTTACAAAATTCAAAAGGTTCATGGCTATGGTCGAACAAGAAACAGGGCTTTCAATCAAAACGTTCCGAACAGGTAAGGGAGGTGAATTTGTGTCTCAAGAGTTCCAATCCTTTTGTGACAATGCTGGAATTAAAAGGCACCTAACTGCGCCATACTCTCCTCAGCAAAACGGTGTGGTGGAAAGACGAAATCGAACTTTGTTAGAGATGACTAGAAGCATCATAAAACACATGAGCATACCAAATTATTTCTGGGGAGAAGCAGTAAGGCACGCAACTTATTTAATAAACAGACTTGGAACAAGAACATTGGAGGCACAAACACCCTATGAAGTTTTTAAAGGCAAGAGGCCGAATGTAGAACACTTGCACATGTTCGGATGCATTGCCTATGCAAAAATATACTCGTAACACTTGAAGAAATTGGATGATAGGTCGCGAGTACTAGTGAATTTAGGCACTAAACCAGGGTCAAAAGCATATCAGTTGGTTGATCCAAGGAGTCGAAAAATAATAGTTAGCAGAGATTTATTTTTTGATGAAGAAAAGAGCTGGAGATGGAGTCATCTAGGAAAGGAAGGTGATGGTAACTCAGGGATGTTCACCATCGGATTAGGAAATCTTTGACAGGACATCAGGAAAGATGGTGAGATTTATGAAGTCGAAACAGAACAGACTCTTGATGAAAACATGGAAGAGGATGCGAACCAATATGAAACAGAATCGGGTGAAGAAACAGAACAGCAGATAACTGAGGAACAAAGTCAGGTCCAATCGCTAAGAAGGTCTTCAAGAGAAGTTAGAAGACCTTAATATCTGAGTGATTTCGTGTGTTTGGCTGAACTTGAGAGTGAACGTCTACTGCTCTGTTTAAACGATGAGCCATGGGACTATGATGAGGCAAAAGAACTAAAGGAATGGAGAGAAGCGTGTGTAGAAGAGATCTCGTATATTGAGAAAAACAAAACCTGGAGCCTTGAAGATGCTCCCATCGGAATCGAAACCAATTGGGTTGAAGTGGGTATTCAAAATTAAAAGAAAATCTGATGGCAGCATTAACAAATATAAAGCTAGATTAGTAGCTAAAGGTTATGTGCAAAAGTTTGGAGTTTACTTTGAAGAACTTTTTTCTCCCGTAGCAAGAATCGAAACAGTTCGTCTCATCATTGCATTGGCTGCATCAAACAGTTGGGAAGTGCATCACCTTGATGTCAAAACAGCTTTTCTCCATGGAGAACTAAAGGAAGTGGTATATGTTACACAGGCCGATGGTTTTGTAGTCAAGGGGAGTGAAGACAAAGTTTACAGACTAAACAAAGCACTTTACGGACTAAGACAAGCACCTAGAGCCTGGAACAACAAGCTGAATGCAATTCTTAAGGAGCTTAAGTTCGTCAAGTGTTCGAAAGAGCTGTCGCTATATCGGAAGCAAGAGAAGGATATGCTTCAGTTGGTAGCCGTCTATGTAGATGATTTGCTCGTCACAAGTTCAAATTTGAACCTAATACTTGAGTTCAAAAGAAAGATGGCTTGCAAGTTCGAAATGAGTGACTTGGGAAAGTTAACTTACTATCTTGGCATAGAGGTTCATCAATATCAAGGAGGCATTGTGCTTAAACAACAAAGGTATGCGACTAAAATTTTAGACGAAGTAAATATGGGAGAATGCAATGCAGTGCACATACCTATGGATTCAGGTTTAAAGCTTTCTAAAGCTGCAGAAGAAAGAAACATTAATGAAACAGAGTATCAGAAGAAAATCGGATGTCTTCAGTATCTACTACATACTCGACCCGACTTGTCTTTCTGTGTTGGCGTACTTAGCAGGTACATGCACGAGCCGAAAGAATCTCACGGAGCAGCCTTAAAGCAAGTCCTGAGATACTTACGGGGAACACTGTCTCTTGGCCTTAAGTTTTGTCGAGCTGATAGAACAGAACTTGTGGGTTATAGTGACAGTAGCCACAACATTGATGTGGACGACGGCAAAAGCACTACTGGACATGTCTTTTACTTGAATGACTGTCCAATTACATGGTGTTCTCAGAAACAGCGCTGTCGTCTTGTGAAGCCGAGTTCATGGCTGCTACGGAGGCTGCGAAGCAGGCGATCTGGCTTCAAGAGCTACTTAACAAGGCCACCAAAGCTATATGTGAGAAAGTGACTATCAGGATTAATAACAAATTGGCAATAGCACTTACAAAAAATCCGGTTTTTCACGGAAGAAGTAAACACATACACCGAAAATACCATTTCATTCGTGAGTGTGTAGAGAATGATATGGTGAGAGTATAACATGTTCCCGGAACAGAGCAGAAGGCTGACATTTTAACAAAACCACTTGGAAGAGCTTAATTCAAGGAAATGAGATAGCTCATAGGAGTTGAAGATGTAGCTGAAGAAGATTTCAAGCTTAAAGGGAAGAATGTTGAAGTAAGCTTGAATTAAGATAAGTCTCCTAAAGATAAGGATTAGGCAATTTAAATAGGAGTTTTCTATTTATTTTAGGAGTTATCTAAAAGATATAAGTATTGTCAAATTGGATTAGGATTCCTATTATTCTCTCCTTATATATAGCATTGTCGAGATGTGGCAAAAGCTATGAGATTAAGAGAGAGTTTGTGAGAAGCTTTAGTTTTTGAGTCAGTTTTCTAAAGCAATAAAGGTGTGTTAATCATTCTTGATCTCTAGAATTATAACTTTAAATTCTCTATATTCTCAACATCGATCCTCACCTACATTACTCATTATCGGTCGCCTTGATGCCATGAGCAGAATTTGGAAGACTTTCTTTTTCATTAAAAGATGTCTCTCTCTCTATTTAATTATTACTCGTCCTTCTTGAACGAGCAAGCGATGTCTGTGACACTATTGTAGTGGAGTGATGTCTACGTTATAGCCTACTCAGAGTTTTCTGTAAATAACCATTAGGAAGAACAAATTGTCACATTTTTATACCAGGGGAAAAAAGACAGATCAAATCGTCAAGATAATGAACATAAGAGAGACTCTACACATGCAACTTTCTCTCACATTTTCTCTCACATCTTCTTTCTTTCTCCTCACAAATCTTCAAACTTTCACGATTCCTCACTCATTCTCTTACACACACTCACCAAGAATCGAAAATCAACATTTTATATTTTAGAGGAATGAACACCAAAGATATAGATGTGGATATGATGCAAAAATAGGTGGAAGTGTAAATCTGGGTGTCGATTTTCTGGAAATTTAGATCAATTTTGATATTTGGGTATTATTGGCAACTATTGTTCATATATTGAGTTTTTTGAGATTGAAGATGAAATGTAGAATCAATGTTCTTCTGATAAACTTAGTTACGTTAATCTAAAATTTGATGATTCAAGATTTTACTTATCCTGTGAAATATAAAGTTAGAACAAGTAAACCCTAATAACATGTAAACATTTAGACATAACATGTAAGTTAACAGAAATGATTAAGTAACCATGTTAAAACAAAGTTAGAGGTACAATACATAATTTAACATGTTACTATCAAATATAAATTGTAACAAAATCATCACCATCTAAAAAAAGGTTAATGTTCTGATAAAAAAAACATGAAAGTTTACCGATAACATCAGTGTTTTCGTGCTAAGATAAAAATTAGCAGTAAACTTACATATATACATGATACAAAAACTTTTAACATGCTACAATAACATGTAACTTGTTACCATAACATATTGGTTTGAAATAAAGTAATTTTCTGTGGTTTTCAACTCCCTACTTGCAGATTTATAACCAGACCTATAACTGCTACAACCTTACTAACACAGACAAGTATTAATTAATTATTTTAAAAATTGTAGGTTGCTTTTTGGTAGAGAATTAGCAGGGCCTTTTCGTAATCTTCCCTCATTTCAAAATGATTTCTTTCTCTCAATTCACTGTTTTTTCTAGTTTCTTAATTTCTAGTTTTTAAAATTTCTACATAATAAACTCTTTTCTTTATACCTACGAAAATTTTTGGTATTTTATGCAATAATTATACTCATTATCCACATAAAGACAGATTCATATAACAAATATAAAGGACAAAATCGTATTTACTGATAACTATCAAAATAGTGTTTTAAGTTTCTCGTGGGCATTGGCCATTTTTGCAAATTCTATCAATTTTCTAGTCATTTATAGAATTTACTTTTGTTTTAATTCTCTTTCATTTATAACATAAAGTTTTGTTTTATATTTATGGAATCTTTCTGCCCACACAAAGCAGGGATAAAACACCTAGTTACAATGACACGACACTAATCAAATTATCATTGATCATATTGGTCAATGGTTTCTTATTAGTTTTAAGTTTTTGTACCTTTTCATCTTTTCCAAATCATAGATGCTCAATGTCAAACAAAACCTAAACTTGCACATAACAAGCAACGAATTGGTCACAAGAAGAGGTAACAAACTCATAGCATATGCTTTGTTAGCAAACCTACAAACAACAGAAGTACAGAACTAGTCACTAACTCATTCTCTATATTCCTCAGATTCATCTGAATCCTCTGCTGTGACATCGGACGAACCTTCTTCTTCCTCCTCAATATCCTCATCTGCATAGCTCATTTTCACTTTGCTTGCCATTATTTTGGCTAAAGCAGCAGCTTTACTTGCCCGGTGTGATCGGGTCATCAAAGTATTAGGAGCAGAAGGCATAGCAGAAGGTGGAGGAGATGCTACTTCTTCATCATCTTCATCAGAGGATGCTTCTTCCATCCTTACTCGTCTTCTTGATCGAGCTGGTACTCTTGTTGAGCAAGGAGCAGGTGTCTGTGGAACTGTTGCAGGTGCAGTGATGTCGAGGTTATAACTTACTCCTAGTGTTTCTGTAATTAGCCATTAGAAACAATCAAATTCTTCAAAGCAATGGACAAAGAGAGGCTCTAAACGAATATAACCAAGCTGTAATGTAAAAGGCAAAAGATTATTGTACCAAAGATGGAATTTGCTTCATCTTGTGAAAGCTCCTCGCTTGGACAAGCATCCAAAGATTTTAGATGTTCAAGTACCAGTTTCACTTCCTTTAGAAGATCCTTCTCTGAGCATACAGATTCCGCGACTTGGGTTAAAAGCTTTTTCATCAACTTTATCACATTTTGCTCTGATGGTTTCAGATTGAGTAGCACAAGTATTTTGCATAGTGCTGCAACGTATGCCTTCTCAGCAGCAGTCTTCTTAGCATTGAACCTTACCATCTATGGGAAAAAATATTAATAGCCAACTATAAACTATAACGGGAAAAGAGATTCTGAAGGTTAAAACAACTCTATATCATCGCATCAATTGATAAGAGAATCTTCACTCTCTATTATCCTTTCCTTGATCTTGAGGACAATAACGATACAGAATCCAAAGGAATGCAACTAACCTCCACGGCTATGCGTATGGCTAACCCTTCTTCTGTACGGTCTAGTGGAGGCTGGACAGAATCTTCTGGTGAGTCTGGTGATTTGTATAGTGGGGTTTGCATCATCTGCAGGAGAAATCTGGATGCTTGAACTGCTCGCTTACGTTGATTTGATACAGCATATGAAGAGTTTTTGGAAATTCCATCAATCCCAGGCCACAATGAGCGTATGAGAGGAACAAAAGCCTTTGACACATATCCCTATATCACATGACAAATAGTTCAGCTATACAAAACTAAACAAACACACCATGAAACCTCTTGCTCTTAAGGGCATCATGGTTTTCGTTACCTTATGCTTTTCCGAGAGAGAAGCATAGTGCTCAAAGAAGACAGATAAACACTGTTTGAACCTGGACAAAAATTAAGCAGAGAAAATCATTAGTAGATATTTTGATGACAAAAGTTACCAATCGAAAGAAACAGAATCTCTATACCTCAGTTGTTCTTTTGACTCCTCGCTGAAGTATAATGCAATCAGCTTGCCCAGAATAAAAGGATAAAACGATGCAGGCAAGTTTGGGTACTTCTCTCCTAGAAGAAGAAGTTTCGCAAACCCCTCCCCGACAGTTGCTTTAACAGACTCATCTTCACTGCTCTCTGTGTATGCTCTCCAGTCATCACTTTCAAGTCCAGCATACAAGAGATCGAGCATCTTTAAGTTCAAATCTTCTTCAGCATTTGACAAGTCGACAGGTACAAAATCAATGCTCTCATCCTCAAATTGTGACAAGAGATCTTGTCCCATTGCCTTGTCAACTTCTGTTGGGCTATGCCACATCCCAAGATCCACTAGTGCCTTGGAAGCCATAATACTAATCGGAGGAGGGCTTCTACAAAAAGCTATCCGTAGCTGCCTTACTAGCTCTTCGCTAGGCTTCTTTTCTAACAAACCAAAAAGACCGAGGCACTTTATAGCAATCCTCTGCACATCCAAGTGAGTGTGTTTTGCCTGCGTTACATAAATCGTATCAGAAAGAGTGTTTGTTTGTACAGAGCCAAAGAAAGCAGGACCATGAAAAAAAAAATATGCATATGGAATATTGACATATTGAATGGAAAACTGACAACTACAAGTAAGAATAAGTCAAAGTCTCAACAAATTTTTGATATCCAGATAATTTCAAAGTCAAAATTCAAGGGAAAATAAAAACAGAGAAGAGTAGAAAATATACCCCTGGAAGCAACAAAGCATGCAGTATCTCTTCTGGTTCAATAGCCTTCCCTTGCAGTGAATGTAGAGATTTTCCATTTTCCAAGAGAAGACTTGTCAGAGAAAGCATGTGCATCCACTGCAGGAAATCCGCAGTCCTTTCCCTACAGGGTCTCGCTAGTTCTTCAATAACAACAAGTATAATTTCTTCAAATTCTCCAGGGGCGGCATGAACTTTCTTAGCTAATTTGGACACTGCTTCAGCCCAATCTTTATCACCACCAAGGTTTATACCATCACCAATCACAATACTGTTCCCATCTTCGTCTAACTCTTGCTCAAAAGGTCTGTGGAGCAGCTCCTGGACAAATGAACTTGCAGTTTTGTGGAGCATAGCATCAGAGAAATCAAGCATTGTGCCCAGCAATAATAGCTGCCTTGAAGAAAAGTGATGATTCGGTCCTGAAAATTATATGTAAGCGGTGGGTATCTCTAAAAACAACTAAGTTTTGGTATCAAAAATCCTATTTGGACTCACCAGAGTCTATGTGAGCTTTAACTAGAGCAACATAATCAGAAACTGTTGCAGGAAGAATTCTTTCCAACAAATCATTCGTATCTGAAGCTTCAGCAGCATAAACTGCTGCCTCAGCTCCCATTGCAGTAGCAGCATCAGAACCCTTTGCCTGTGTAACAGTCATTATTCTTAGTGTGCCCCATATACAAAACTAACAGTATGAGCATAAAAATCATTACAAGAACCAATCATTGTATTTCAAATACTAGCCTGTACAGTAGACATATATTTTATGAGGACTTTAGTGAATTCAGGCACAGCCTAGAGGTCATATTTGCGTTCTCAAGAAAAAGGCTATTCAATACATTAAAAGGTGAAGCAAGCTGGCAATATGTGTTCTTTTATTATGAAAGTATAAATGTGCTGCCTCCTCAGATGCATTGGTTTCTGTAACGTTTTTGTTTTCTTTTAGATCTAAGGTGATTTAAAGAAAATATTTGCAATAAATGTGTAACTTGAAATCACAGGACATGTTATTCGGTAGAATTACACATAGTATCTACAATAGGTGAAACTAAGCAAAATCACAAGCACCTTACTGTCTAAGTCCTAGGATCTAGCGAACAGCCAGGTTTAGATAAATCATCACAGGACATAAAGTTTAGATTGTCCAATGACGAAGATAATGCCAGTATATACTAGCAATCTCTGAATTTGAATCAAGCAGTCAGTTAGCGAAATTCTCAAGAGCATCTGTAAACCCTTTCTCAACGCATCATCTAACTGAGCTAATTTGTGGGTTCACAAAAACCTTGTTTGATGCATAAAATAACCTAACCTCAGCAGTGGATAGTTGGTAAATTGCAAACTTACTTGAGCGCATTTATGTAACTTCCTGCATATAATCCTCCAGTAAAGAGCAATCTCTGGCTCCATAAGTTGGATGCTGGGTGTAGAACATGTGCTCTCATCTAGCACATGAAGTATAACAAAATATAAGCACATGCAGAAACTGTAAACTTATGCATGTATAGTCCAGATTCAACAGACCTCTAGCTTCACCATCTGCTGACATTATGCACTGCTGGATGCTTTTATCATCGGAGGGCATTATCAATCCTTCACTTAAAAAAACTTCCAACGCCGATTCTGCTACAGATTCATAGGTTTCAACGTCAAGGTACTTAAGAAATTCGATAGGATCTCCTTGACAACAGTTAGATAGCCATTGATTTTTCATTAGCTTCAAACATTCTTTTGAAACATTTACAGCACGATCAGCGAGCCCTCTCTGAAGAATTGTGGTCCTAAGCTTGATGCTGAAGCAGGAGAATAAAAGAAAGACTACTCAGGAGAAAGATAAGGACAAGAGGGAAGAGGAAATTCCAACTTGTTTCAATAAGGCTAAACGTAGAACAGTCCTTACGGTAAACCAAAAGCATAAAACTCCTATTCAGATTTCAATTAAAGAATTTCATGAAGAGAAAAATGAAGAGAAAAATGAAGAGACCAAAGCTCTAAGATTGCTCTGACTATGCAAAATGATGAAGAAAGATATAAAGAGACAAAGCTCTAAGCCCAAATTCACCTTAGACTCTGAAGAGGAACTTTATTTGCCAGAACAGAGTAAGCCACTTTGCGTACTGATTCATTAACATCGAGCGTGCAATCAATAATCGCTTGGGTGGTTGCATTTGAAGGAGGCAGAGACAGAACAATGGTTTTGCGTACCTCCTGGAAACATTAAAAAAAGCTGAGCGAGAAGAGTTTGGCAGGCATAAAGACTAAACTGATAATGTAATGGGAAACCAGAAAACGGTACAAGATCGAAACTTTACCGGATTTTGTTCCAAGGGAAGCACCTCAAGGAGCAAATCAAGAATGTCACTATTATCAGGATCGTTAACAAAGCGTGAAAGAGACCTGACAGCAAACGTACGGATAACAGGAACTTTGTCCCGAACACGCAACATCATACCATCTATTACATCATCCCACAGTTCATCCGCCACTTCCACCTCATCTGGCAGCCTCAATATGATCTGGAAAAAACACAAATTAGAGAATAAGTAGAAGAGGCAAAAAAAGGCCTTCAAAACATGAAACCAGAATGCAACCTCAATTCATAGAAACATCTAAAAGGAATCATCACATTGACACAGCCTCAAATCTGATTCTGCCCAACAAAGCAATTCAAAAGCCATTAATCCTTTACCCCATTTCTAAAATTTGTCAGACTATGATCAATACCCAGCATAACTACGCTCGAACAATTTAATCATACTCCAAAATTGAAGAGAAGGAACCCTAGTCCTCTTATACCTCGGAGATTATTTGGCAAGCCCTGAACCTGGCGTTTCTGTTCGCCGCCACAGACCCAGCAAGTAAAAACTTGAGAAATTCACCAAGAAACTCGCCGCAATCGGAATCACCATCTGAATTATTACCACGAAGACAAGCGAATTCCGCCACGAACCGTACAACGCGCTCTGCCGCCGCCGTTCTCCGTTGGGCCGCAACGAAAAGAGGGGTTAGGGTTTTGAAAAACACCGAAGCGAATCGACGGACAGAAGACGACTCATCAGAGTCAGGCGAAGATAGTTTCGACCGGACGGTGGCTAACTCCTTCAGCTTCCGGTTATGAGTAGCGTAGGAAGTGCGAGTCTCGTTCAGGATCTTCGCGATTTTCTGGAGAAGGTGACGATCTGCGGAAGCGGAAGCGATTCGTGATTCTTCTTCGCCCATATTCTCAGAGTGGAATTTTCTTCTGAAGAGAAAACCCAGAAATGTTATGCTCTTGTGAATATGAGATTTTTTTTTTTGGTACTTAAAACATGTATGTGAGACTTTAGATCTACTTGTTCAAAATTTTCTATGAGCGGGAAACTATTTGATATGCTTTTTGAAAATTAAAGTAACAGATTTGATTTTTTTATCCTCCTTTTAGAAAATATTATAACAAATATTCCCATTCTTTTTTAATAATCATATCTATTTTTTACCTAGTCTACACCAAACCTTTGATATTCATACTGACGTTTGTATTTTTCACCTCCAAATAGTTTTTTGGTTTGATTGTTAATCCATGGAATTGTAACGTAATGTTTTCTAATGCAATTTCGAAGTATTTTATAAATTAAAATTTTTAAAAATATTTTTTGCAATCTTACAAATTACTAATAATTTTAACTTATTCATATTGCAGAACTTATCCCTTCAAAACAATTAATAATCTCGCAAATAAATGTAGTGATGAAAGTAATGTCATGAGTCTCACTAATTCTAGCAATTTCTAAGTTTTTATCTACTTGAATCTATCTTTTGTACGTACGTATAATAACATAGAACTAGTTACTTACCATGTTAAAAAAATTATCACTAGGAAAATCGATAGGAATCTAGTATCTAATCAATTAATTAGAGACGATTATTCGAGGATTAGGGTTTTCGTTTTTTTTTTATGTACATAAAATTATAGATTATATCTAGTGAAATAAAACAAAGATTCAACATTGCATGGCTAATATGATGTGGACATCAATCCCACAAATAGACCCAAGACGAGCTAAAACCCACTAAGAGCTAAGGAGAACCCAACCGAAGCCGAGAATAATCATTTAGGAGCCATACCGGTGCAACCAAGCAAAATTAGCACCAATGGAGAGAATTTCTCTCGACCAAGTGAACTTGGAGAAGCCAATGGTGAATTCCCTCAAGCCACGTTTGCAGATCAAATTGAATTTGCCTCACAAATTACCACATCGGCGAACATTGTACCCGATAAAAAAAATTTGGCCCAAGAAAGGTGTTTTCAACTTAATCAATGCACGTCCAAGCGCAGGAGATATTATTCTCCATCAGGAGACCCAACGGAGCATCCAAAACCAAGAGTAACGGAGTTGAATCGACCTGGATCCATCATTTAACCGCAACATCCTTAAATGGTCCAATACTCGGCCAAATAAGGAAACTCGTGTAACCAGGCTAAGGGAGACGACCAAGCACGTGTTACCCACCAGACCTCTCATGCACCCTCAATATGAATCAAGACGCTTTCCTGGCCCAAGAAATAGATACAAACTTCAAAGAGAAACTTTCCAAATCCGGAAATGTTAATATTCCATCATTGTCGACTTTCGGAGAGCAAATCTGAGCCATTCATCTTATGGAGACCATCCCAACCGTACAAACCCATCAGAGAATCTCTCAGCTCATGAGCCGCCATAGACCACGCCCCTTGACCCCATTCCCCATACATCAAGTTCTTCACCATCAAAGCTCTACAATCCTTTAGCTTGATACTTTGCTTAATCTTTGCTGTTTCTTTAATGTTTTATTACAGTTGTATTTGATTTCCAGAGCCTATATAAGCTCTGTCTCTTCCATCTATTGTACACACCTTGAATTAATAAGAAAAACCAGAATCTTTGTTTCACAAACCTTGTGTTCTTGATTCGTTTTGCGAGTTCTAGGTAGATTGTGGAATCAGTCTCTCTAGGTTTCGTGTTTTGAGACTAAACTCTTTGTGAGGATTAGCCCTTAGAGTTAGTAGCTGTTGATACATTTGTTTTAGTCCATAAACAAGTGTATTGCCATCGCAACCTTCTTCCATCCCTCCATCAAAGCTTTTAGACTTTGAATACTTGGTATCCATAAGATTGTGTGATTCTATATTATATCATTTTGGTATCAGAGCTCAAATTTTCTATGAGGTATATCCTTTTTCTTTTGATTTTGTTCTAGTTTCGATTTTCACAAAAAAAAAACCAAAGAAAATTTAATTATTATTGTTTTTGCTTCTTATTCATTTTAAAAAAAAAAACTTCTGTTCTTGTTATTTTGCTTCTTATAAATTCTGAAAACCCATAAAAATATCTATTGTCGAATTTAATTTTATTAGTTTATCACCTAGTAAAAAAAAATATATATATATATATATATTTTTTTTACGATTCTATTTTGCTTGTTCACTTTGTTTTGATTAGAACTTGATCTAGTTTTATTGAAACTTTTGGCAGGTGAATCATGACTGAAAGTAACCATCAGGCTGCTATAATGCAGCTTCTCCAAGCCATGAGAGAAGACATGAATGCGATGAAAGATGACCTCAGAACTGTGAAAAGTAGTATGACCACACTGGAGACTGATAACACCGTATTTTGACCACTTTTATGGATCGTTTTGAAATACTTTTTCTATGTTTTTAATTGCTTTTAAGTACTTTTATTACGTTTTTCTATTATTTGTAGTTCCAAAATTCTTTTCAGGTGACTTAGGGAACAACTTAACAAAATGGATAGAAAACCAGATTTCAGCTCAGAGTCAAACCGTCAGAAGTTCACCCCCGATTGAAGGCCTTATCACCATCTGATCCAGCTCAAATTTGAAGATCTTAAAGATGGAAGTATCAGCTTTCCAGCACACTTTACAGCTTGGCAATCCAACTGTTCAATCAAAAGATACGCGAAAAGCAAGATGTCCCGTAAACCAGCCGGCAAGCGTTTCCACCCGCGACCAACAGACCATTCCCCGCGGTCACAACCACCGCAACCGCGGCCAGCCACCCATTCCCCGTGGTCACGCACTTCCCCACCGCGGCCAGCTAACTCCGACTCCGAAGGCCCATTTCTGAAGCCCATATCATTTTCCCAGCCTTGATTCCGGAACCCTAGACCCTAGAGATGTCTTGAGCACTATAAATACATGTTTTAGGAACCCTAATTCGTATGACCTCATATGTTCTTATTGTTTTAGAATACTTTTAAGTTTTAGGTTTTAGGGAGAGAGAGATTTGTCTCTTGAACCCTTGTTCTTTCTTTTTCAATTTCGGTTTCTATTCTACTTTTTAATACTATGTTTTTGATTTCGTTCATCATGTCTGAGTAGTTTTATTGTTGGGTCTAAGGGATTTTCGATGGGGATTTATATGTTCGATGAGGATTCCATGAGCTTTTGAGCCGAATCTTAGAACTTTTTCTTCTGAATTCGTTTTTACTGCATGAGAGTAGCGTCATGAACTACAATCTAATTCAGATGCTTGGTGACACGAAAGTGTTCATCCGGTGTCAGATCTAGTTTGGGAGAGCAAAACAAACATAGGAGTGGAAACCTACTGATGGTGACTTGATGTGTGTGTCGAGGGTTGTCAAGTTTTACCCTAATTGAAATCAATAGCCGCAAGTGCACAGCTGATCAATTGTAGTACTTAGGGATCGAATCCACAGGGAAGGAGGATCTTTTACTCCAAAAAGCCTTTGAAATAAGTTAAAGTAAGGAAGTCTAGAAAAAAAACGGTTTAGTGGGGGTTTGGTGGTGTCTTTAAAATGTAAAAACGAAATATTAAAAGAGAATACGGGAATTAAATGACGTAATAACTAAACTTAACGAAAATAACTAAAAATGCTAAAAACGGATATTCTAATGCTTAAATGAAAATGAACTAAAAAGGAAAGATAATATTGAATTAAAGCTTTAAAGAAAATCGCATGAAATCAATGGAAAGAAAGCGTTGGGGTTCAGGGAAGTTTTCTCAGGGGTACGAACAATTCAAAACATTGCTAGAGAGGAAATTTTGTAAGATCTTAGCTTAAACTTTTCGAACTGGAGTCATGGACGTATGAATACGCCACTGTCGTGATCATAGACAACTATCTCTCTCAACCCTGACCAGTAGGTTTCCACTCTGGCCCTAGAAGAGAAGAGATGCATTATGTTTAAGACTCGTCCTAATTCACAAATCGCCCATAGGTAGGTTTCCACTCCTATGTTTGTTTTGCTCTCCCAAACTAGATCTGATACCTGATGAACACTTTCGTGTCACCAAGCATCTGGATCAGATTGTAGTTCATGACGCTACCCTCATGCAGTAAAAACGAATTCAGAAGAAAAAGTTCTAAGATTCGGCTCAAAAGCTCATGGAATCCTCATCGAACATATAAATCCCCATCGAAAATCCCTTAATCCCAACAATAGAACTACTCAGACATAATGAACAAAATTAAAAGCATAGTAATAAGAAGTTGAATAGAAACCGAAATTGAAAAAGAAAGAACAAGGGTTCAAGAGAACAAATCTCTCTCTCCCTAAAATCTAAAGCAAAACAAGTATTCTAAAACAATAAGAAAGATAGATGATAGATGAGTTTAAGGTTCCTAAGACATGTATTTATAGTGCTCAAGACCTCTCTGGACGTCACTTAGGGTTTCTCCAAATGTGGGCTTCAGAAATGGGCTTTATGGGCTCGGAAGTTGATGGCCGCGGTCGGGAGTGCGCTGACCGCGGGGAATGGGTGGTTTGCCGCGGTCGGGATGCTCCTGACCGTGGGAAAATGCTTGTTGGCCGCGGGTGGAAGTGCTAGCCAGCTGGTTTACGGGACATCTTTCTCTTCGCGTATCTTTTGATTGAACCGTTGGATTGCCAAGCTGTAAAGTGCACTGGAAAGCTGATACTTCCATCTTTAAGGTCTCCAAATTTGAGCTGGATCGGACGGTGAGAAGGCCTTCAATCAGGGGTGAACTTCTGACGGTTTGACTCTTAGCTGAAATCTGGTTTTCTATCCATTTTGTTAAGCTTTTCCCTAAGTTACCTGAAAAGAGTCTTGGAACTACAAATACTAGAAAAACGTAATAAAAGTACTTAAAAGCAATTAAAAACATAGAAAAAGTATTTCAAAACGTTTCATAAAAGTGGTCAAAATACGGTGTTATCACCTACCTATGGGCGATTTGTGAATGCTGACGAGTCTTAAACATAATGCATCTCTTCTATTCCAGGGCCAAACCTACTGGTCAGGGTTGAGAGAG